GGTGAAAGGGTCACGACGAAGCAGCAGGCGGCGGGCGGCGGGTGGATGGTAAGCATCTGGCCCCCGCAAAAACTGCGAATCATTTTCTTAGCTCTCCCGCCCGCTCCCCGCCGCGTGAGCTATAGGGCCACAAGGCGGTAATGGGAGGTTGAGAGGGGTGGAAAATGGCGGCGTGTGAGGCGAGAGGCGTAAGGCGAGGCGTGAGGCGGTGACTGGCCTGACCCACCCCGTGGCAAGAGAGAGTAAAAAAGAGAGAAGAAGAAAAAGGAGACGAATGAATAAGGCAGCAGGTTTGTCGGGCCAGACCGCCGGCTCGGTACGTGAGATGGGCAGATATGTTCTTGGTGTCATCTCGCTCGCTGTCTCAGGCTTGAGAGGGGCCGCGCGCCAAGTTGGGGGGGAGATGGACAAGAGACAAGATGTGCCAAGAGGCAAGATGGTGATATGTGAGAGAGACGAGACACTATTGGCACTGGTGTCCGAGCTGATGATTTCCCGGGGCCAGGCCATCTTGCTTTCTTGCTGAGGTTGCGAGGCGCAAGAGATGATTGCCATATTCGCCTCCAATAGAGAGAGAGAGACCTTGAACAAAAGTGCCCATTGCTTATGAGCCAATGTCGTCGCCCGTCGTGCGTGAGCACCTCGCCCAAGAAGGCAGTCCGAGTTGAGCCCATGCCTCTCGCCGCCGGCGCCCCTCCCGCCACGGGGAACACAAGAGAACGACCAGAGCCTCTCGGGGAGCGACGCCCCCTGCAGCACGATAGACACGACCCCCCCGACCGTGCGATCTCAGCTGAGCTCGGCGTTACGGTGGCGGTCGTTGCCTATCTCTGGTGGTTCACTGTACTGACATTGTTTGTTTCCACCCCTACCTATTCTTCTCTATTCGTACAAACGGGGGAATGGAGGTGGCATGTGGTCAGGGCTCGGCTTCGAGAATGGAGGAAACACAGGTGGCGTCGCTTTAGTCTACCATTCTGAGCCAAGCGACAAACAAGCCCGAGAGGCGAGAAAGAAGGAAAAATACTAAAGTCGAAGAGAAGAAAGAGACTCAAGCAGCCAAGGTCTGGAATCAAAAGGTGTCAAGCCTCGTTTCCAAGGAGAGCCCCGAATACCGGCTCCGACGGGGGCGTGTTAGGGACCGCTGTCACCGCTCTCACCCACGGTCGGCCACGGCATGGCGGCATCAGGTCAACCGCTCGCGCGCTACCCGAACATCCCCGAGGCACATGCCGCGGGGCTTCTCTGGAGTCTACATGGCAGTTGCTGTTGCGGTAGCGCGGGCGGCGGGCCTTGGGTTGACACCAGGTTAGGAGCCAGACAGTGAGGGAGAGGAGGGAAAAAAGGGCCAAGGCAAGGAAGCAAGGCAGGCACGCTATGATCTGACTCGTACCCCAGGGCCAAAAAGCCTTCGATTTCGTCATGCCAGGAATCCGCTTCCCTTCCCTCTTCCCACAGTACCTAGGTAGGTAGGCAAAAGGGGGCGGGCGGGTGTGCGGGCGGACACGAGGAGTGAAGGGGTGAAGGGGTGTTTTGCGCGCGAGTGAACAAGAGATCCATCCACCCTGTTTCCATTCTTTCTCCTGTCTTCCTCTCGCGCCCACCCCACTGCAAGCAAACAAGCCCCTGGTCACCCCTTTCGCTCGTGAGGCGGGCCAAGCGCGGAGAGGTTGAGTTGAGTCGTCCCAGAGATAAGCCTCCCCTCCAGCCAGGGCGAGTCACCTTGTCTCTACTGGGTTCCAGCGGATGGGCTCCTTACCCCTGGCCCTCTTCCTCCTCCACACGCCCAGGGGGGCCGACATGAACCGAGACGAGCCGACAAAGGATGTTGAGATTATGAGATGAGACGACAGACTACACTCCATACCCCGGGCGAAATCTCAGGCAGCCCTTGGAACACAAAACCAAATAGTGAGAAGTACCCGCCCCCAAAAAAGAACGTGCCAGGGGGGGGGGGGGGGGGGGGGAACGCGGCAAATCAACAGAAAAGAAAGGGAAACCGGGGGTCCCGCCGCACCGCCCGCAGTAAGTCTGGGGGTGCTCTGACGTGATATCACTCGCGCGCTTTATGCTGGCGTGGGGAAGACGAGGGATACGTAATGCGCTGGGGGCGTGTGTGTGTGTTTTTGTGTGTGTGGTATTGCCGGGGGGTGGGTGGTACAAGCTGAACGATGCTAGGCCGGGCCCCTCTCTGGCTGGGCCCCTAAAGAAGAGATCCAACACTGGACAGTATCATACAAGTACATACAGAAGACGGGGTGCCCTGTATGTATGTGCTGTGGGTATGCCCATGGTGACCTGACACCCTCCGGCATGACGACGCTCATCGACATCGACGGTGACCTTAGTCAAGGCAAGGAAGAGAGAGAGAGTCGATCACAAATATGATGGTCACAGGCTGGGCCTGAGCCATGAACCATCTCAGACTTGGCTAGGTAGTGGAAAATCTGCAGGGCCGTTTGACTCACTCATGACACTCGTCAGGTCCGAGTCCTGACCCTCTTGTTACGTACCCTACATGGGTGAAATAGAGATCTGCTGCTTGCGGCTCTCGTTTCTCGTCCCTGGATGGACGGGGAGAGGATGGGAGGGATATTTCGGTCAGGGCTGAGCCAGTGTCATGCCCCAGCCGGTGCAGATGCCCGTCATTATTGCCTGACTACCCTCGCACCAATGTTGCACGAGTGCAGCTGCCTGCCGCCAACTGCAGCCAAAGTAGCCGCCGTGAACACGTCGTGGGTCGAAGGCATGCTGTTTACGAGAGCACGTATACGAATTTGCCAGGATTTGTTTTCACACATGTTGCTGCAGGGTTGAGAGGAGAACCATCAGATTCTTGGAAAGTAAAGGGCCCTCAAAACAGAGGTCTACGTGAGAGGCGCTAAAAGGTTGTCAAGCCAGCCATTGCAGGCGGCGACCTTGTACAAAGCCCAGAACCAATAAACGTAAAAGAGATAGAAATCCGAAAACTCGTCTGACACTGGGTCGAACCCAAAGGGAAAAAAATAACATGTACCCGTCGCCTGCCATGCCCCGAGGCCCCTTGTTGAGCCGTGTATACCGTCGAGCCCCATAACCCGCCTTCTATATGTTGTGTTGTGTGTGATATCCGTTCATAAGCCCGCTTGCAAACAAGCCCACCCTCTGGTGGGCGAGAAGAGAAAACAAGTCCGCAGTTCGCGCCCATGCGTAGCCAAAGAGTCTTGCACCGCTGCCGGGCGTAGCCAAACACTCTCGCGTTAATCGCCGATTGGGCACTGCTGAGAGGAGAGAGGGGATTCGTTCGTATGGATTAAGAGGAAGCAGTGGGCCCGTGACGCTTCCGATGAGAGTAGAGAAAAAGTGCAATGACGCCAAGTCTATATCCGTGGTGTATGGGGACATTCTTGCCCAGTTCGTAAAAAAGTCGTCTCGAATGTGCTTTGTCGTGCCGAAATTACATCCGATCCATAAGATCGCCGCCAGCAAGGCTGCCCGTGGTCGAGCTCCTGCCACTGTTGAAACCCTCGTTGCTCGTCAGCAGCTCGTGAACACCAATCTTGGGCACGGGCAGCTTGCGGCTGGCGTCTGGCCTGCTGATGATGTCGCTGAGAGAGACACCGTTGCTGCGAGTGGGCGCGCCGCCGGCGGGAGCCTGAGGCGGGCTGTGGAACGGCGCCTCAGGCCTGGGCTCAAGGACGCCCAGGGCCGGCTGCAAAGTCGGTTGCAGGGACAGGTTGCGGAAGGGAGGCAGCTTGACGTCGTTGTCAGAGGGGCGGAGACGAGGTGAGTGGGCGGGCGTGGCAATGGGCGTATGGTCAGGCGTAGGAGAGAGCGAGTCGTGAGAGAAGGTTGGCGACGAGGGGGCTGTCGAGTTGGGCGAGTTGGGACGTGATCGCTTCGCGTGCCTGTAGGCAGTCGAGTAGTGGTCGTCGCCGTGCTCTTCGTTCGAGTGAGACCTTGACATGTGGTACGCAGACAGTGAAGGGTGGCCGCGGGCGCTGTGCATGTAGGGATGGTGGCGGAAGTGCGGAGGCGCTGCGAGGGTCTCGCGCTCGACCTGGTTCGCAGCCTTGGCCAGGATGGAAATGTCCATGTTGGGGTTGGCCTGGGGGGCGCGCCCATAGTGGTGGAGAGTAGAGTGCGTAGGCAGCGCAAACGTGGAGTAGGAGTGAGGCGGAGAGACGTTGGGCGAAGACAGGCTCGAAGTGGGCGCCGAGCGGATCGTCTTGGGAGGTGGCATCATGTTCTCCGAGTGCATGTGCGTCTGGGGTCCTGAGTTGTACTGGTTCTTTCCTCGCCTCGAGTTGGGGTTGCTGTGGATTCGCGAGTGACGGGTCAGCTCGTCAGAGCGGGAGAACTTCTTGCTGCAGCCAGGGAACTGGCAAGCGTGCGGCTTCTCGCCCGTGTGGGTGCGAATGTGTCTCGTCTGATGCTCGAGGCGGTGGAAAGCCTTGTCGCAGAGAGGGCACTTGTAGGGACGGGGCAGCTCGCCAGGCGCCTCCGTTGACTGGGCACCTGGAAGAGGGCCGTTGGGCTTCAGCTGCTGAACAGAGCCCAGGCTGTCACCTTCGGTCTGCTGTTGCTGCTGCTGAGGCGCAGGGGCAGCCTCCTCGGACCTCGGGATTCAAGAGGTTA